TATTATAAGTAATATTTATATTTATATATATATTATATATTATAAGAGAAGAAGAAAAACATTTTCCATGTTCCAAGTGATTATGTGTACTCAAATGAAACACTAGAAAACAATTATTGATGTGAACCATTAATTAAAAGGAGCTAAAATCTAGCTTAGTACTGCAGTTGAAGTAGGCTGGGTAGGACCCTTTTAGTTCATGTAAGGAAGACTGTTACACATAGTTATGTTAGGACATAGTACTCCCACCGTTCGGTTCATTTTAGTTATCGTGCTTATTAAAAGGATAAAATTTTAGAAATGGTAAACAAAATAGACATAATAAGAATGTATAACTATAGTTTCGATAATTGCGTTTTATAACTATAGTTATGTCTGCTATGGAGGTTGCGGTTTCTTAGGGTAAGTATATACAAATTATGTATTTATATATTTAGGAATTTTTCAGAACTCCGTTTGTATATTAGTTTGCCAATATACAAATAGGGTAATTTATTATGATTTTTTCATAAATCGTATACAAATAGCTAGGGTAAGCATATACAAAATTCTAAATTTATACAATCAAGAACCAAATTATACAAATTCTGAATTTATACAAATCAGACGAATTACAATAATTGAGGGAACTGTAGCCGCAAATTACAATTTTCTTAAACTGTAGCTATAGTACCTAATATAGGCAAAATGTTTGCTATTCTGCATAATTTTCTCTAAAATAATTTATTCAAAATAATTATTATTCTAGAAAATTAATATACAATTAGTTATTAATTTTTATTTTTATCATTATTAATTTAATAAATATTGAAAGAGATTATTATGGTAAAAAAAAGTATTAAATTGAAATATAAGATTATTTAGTCAATATGTAATGAATAGTGATTAGTGAGGGAGTAATGAATTATCTGATACTAGCTTTTCATTATTAAAGTGAAAATAATTTCACTTTTAGCAACGGGTATTGTGGAGGATCTTTACTTTAAAAAAAAAAGAAGATAATTTAAAGGATCTTTACACAATTATTAGAGTGTGTTTGGTATGAAGAAAATGTTTATAATTTTTTCATTGTTTAGTTGAATTAAATGTTTTAAAAAATATTTTTGTTTTTTTAATTAAAAGAAGAATGACTTTCATTCATAAATTAAGAAAAATATTTTTCAACTCTCTCTTTCAATTTCACATCATTCGACTTTCAATCTTAGGTCAGGGTCGAGTAATCGACATCAAAGTCAAGAGTCGGAAGTAGAAGTTGTCGGATCTTGCATTGGGATCAGGGAGTCAAGACTCATGTCAAGGTCGGATTATGGTTTTTGGGTCGGAGTCAAAAATTGATTTTCTAATTGAAACACAGAGTCAAAGCTTTTCAGATCAAGAGTTGGGGTCAGATCCAATGTCATAGATTATACGTAAATGTTCTTGGGACAATACTTTTTTCTTCTTAACCAAACATTCAAATTTAAATAAAAAAATCACTTATTTTCCGAACGGAAAATATAAATGGCAAGACACCAATTTGTCACGAAATGGCACGAGGAACAAAAATGTTGTTTATTTCGAAATTTGTGTGAGAAGTTGAGGGTGATTGGGTAATTTCAATAATTTCTTGTACCCAAATTACCCTCAAAAGTAAAATTACTATTCTTAAAAAGTAAAACCACTTTTCAGTCACACTTCCAAGAGGTGGCTGACCATTGGCTCTACTTATATTGTGCCACGTGGAAAATGTTGGGTCCCATTTCAGAAAATGATTTTCTCGCTCTTCTTGAACGTTTTTTTTCTTCTTTCCTACTTTTTATCTACTTCTTTTTCTTTGACTTTTCTTTTCAAATTAATGTTTCAAATTTCTCTACTTCCATACTTGTATAATTTTATTCATGGAAAATATAAAAATATGAAATCCAAAAAGAAAATATTCATTCAATTTCTAACATTTTAAATTAATTATTTATATTACTAAAAATAGTTAGATAAAATTATTTGTTAATTTACAAAATATAATTAATTACAATTTTTTTTTATTATAACATTTTTCTTCTTTTTGTAAGTGTAAATAAAATTTATAAATTTTAAAAATTAAATGTAAATTAGTAAAGCTATCATTTTATTTATAATTTCTTACAAAATTTGTAAAAAAAAAATAGCATAAATTTTGATACTAATTTCAAAAAGAAAATATAACGGAAAGAGCATCAATGTTTTTGATAAATAATTACATAAGTTTTTATACTAATTTCATGAAATTAAAAAAACGGAAAGCATCCATAAATACCTATATAAATACATATTCTTTCCGTCAATTTATACGATATTTTATTCTTGATATTCAAGCTAGGTGAAATTTTTCATCACTTTAACCTTTTTTATTTTTCTTGCTATTTAATTTTTGTGGACTTCTCAAAAATATACGATACTATAAAAATTTTATAAGGTACATCTATATAGGATCCTTCAAAAAAAACAAATTATACATTATCTAAGAATTTAATCATTTTAAAGAAATATGATAAATTATTTCCAATGATTTTATTATTTAACGACGATATATTAAGATGTCTTGTTAATATTTGATTTAAATAAAAATAATCAATAAAATTACGAGTCATATCAACAAGAAAAAGCACTATCAACATTATCAAAATAAAACTATAAATTAAACTACGAAGTAAATGCAATAAAATTTGATTATTATAAAGAGAAACACATGAATACTAACAAAGAGAACAATTTTTTTTCCAGTTTTGAAGAGGGTTATACGTAAAATCATTACAAACCATTAATTAATAAAATAATAGAATATAAAAATTTATCCTAAAAAATCAATGTCTATTAGTACTTAAATAATTTTTAATTTTATATTACTTTGTGGTAAATATGATTGTAAAAGTTTATATTTGAATTGTTTCACAAAAATTGAAGATTTTTCACTATTATAAGTCGAATCATTATGATGAAATAAATGTAATAGATATAGTATTATATGAGTTATGCTCTCTCACAAATAAAAGTCAGTTGAATGCGATTATATAAGCATGATCAATAATCGGATAGTACAATTAGTTATGGTACATGTCAATTTTTGATCAATTTATCTTCGCGTATTATGGGTTATTAGACTATGTTTATTGATAATATCACATTTTAAATTTTCTAGTGATATCCATTAAACAACTGATATGAAAGAGAGTAAATAAATTTCCTTTCGTAATTATTAACGAATGATATTACAACACGAATGGTTAAAACTTAAACGAATAGTCTATAGGTCACGAGTTCGAATCTAGGTTATGTTCCAATTTTAGGTCTTTTAAAATAATTAAACTATTTGAAACTTTTATGATTTAAATAATTTTAAAATTTATTTTATTTGGTAAATAAGATTGTAAAAGTTTATATTTGGATTGTTTCACAAAAATTGAAGATTTTTCATTATTATAAGTCGAATCATTATGATGAAAATAAATGTAATGGATATAGTATTACATGAGTTATGCTATCTCACAAATACAAGTTAATTGAATGCAATTATATATGCATGATCAAGTTTTAATTGGGTAATACAATTAATTATGGTACATGTCAACCTTTGATCAAATTATCTTCACATTTAATAGTTATTAGACTATATTTATTGACAATATCTCATTTTAAATTTACTAGTGATATTCAACAAACAACTACTATGAAAGAGAGTATATACATTTCCTTTCATAATTATGAATGAATGCTATTGCAGCGCAAATAGTTAAAACTTAAACGAATAGTCTATATGTCATATAAGTTTAGGTCCCCAATTTTAGGTATTTTTTAGTTTTGTTTTTTAAGTCTATAGGTCACGAGATTTTTTTAATTTTTTTTTTTCAAGCCTATCGTATGCACCATCAAAATCTTCATGATTTTGGGACAACAAACTATCATCCTCATCTAAACCCAAAACATTATTCAATACTTCGTTTAATTGACTATTTGGATCCATCTTATTAAAATTATATAAATCTAACAACAAAATAAAATAAAACTAATGAGTGAAGTAAAGAAAAAAAAATGAGTAAAATAAGAGAGAGAGAAAATAAGAAAGAAAAAGTCAAAGAGTGGTTTTCTATTTTGGAGGGAAAACCACAAGTGCTTTTGTCACCTAAGGGCTATTTGGTCATTTCGCCGTGTCTTGCCAATTCATGCCAAAAAAGTGTCTTGCCATTTAGCACTACTCTTTTCCGAAAACATATCTTCTAGAAAAATGTACCAAATGCATCTTTCTCAAAAGTCAACTATTACAGTCAATATGCATGCTCACCTGAAAAGCAAAAGAATTTGTAAGTAATGATTACTTCAATTGATTAGACTAGGGTATGTAAATCTATTTTAAAAGGAAAATTGCAACTCCCATTTTTTGAGAAATAGTGACACCTTCTAGGAATCACAAACAGAACATTCTGATTATGCTTATTCTTACTTGTCAAGTTCACAAGTAGTCATCAACAAAAAAAAAAAAGTGTGCGGTAATTTGTGTTCGATTAATCAATTTGAATATCAATTTTATCAAAATATTAAAATAACAATTTACGTTTGAAAAGAATATTTCTATACAAATCAAAAATACTTGTTTTTTTCCTAAATGCTTGATCAAATATTAGACTCTAAAAACACTACTTCTTTTTCTTTTTTTTTTTTAAAAAACTTTTAGCTTTTCAAAAACTTGACCAAACAGGCCATTAAATGGGCTCGGGCCTTTGATTTTGAGCTACCCCATTAAGGTCCATTCTTGTCGCGAATATTCACTTGTAGCATACCATATTCCAATGGATTGACGTATTTTTTCTACTGAGTGTACATTCGCATTTATCAAGTATATATCCAAACAATGCAAGAATTGAGCAAATATTTTGTCAACAGTGCTCAATTTTCTGTATGAAAACATATTTAAAATACATTTTACAGGAGTTTTAGAAAAAATGAGGAAACATTTTAGACTTCAAAACTATAGGGAACTAGAAAGAGAGTTTTATTGATGATTCTCATAAATTAGATGCTACAAACAACCATAAGGAACTAAGTAGAGAGTTTTTTTTTTTGACAAATTAAGTGTTTTAACTCATTCTAGTTGGTAAACAGCAATGAAAGGCATCAACACACTTCCCATCCAAAGCTTCCCATCTTTCTCCTCAACCTCACTTACAGCTCTAACTACTTTCCCTTCTTCGTCTTCCAATATTCGTAACAACTTACCTTCAGGGCTATACTTCACAACAATAGCGGGTAGCTTGCCTCCAAGGTGCAAGAGGGTTCGGAGTTTTACTGGGATAGGAAGCTTCAGCAAGAATAGACGAAGTTGTGGATGTATGGAATTTATATAGCTGTAAATGGTACGGCGACAGTGGATTGCTACCCAAAATTCACCTCTCTCATTTGTGCTGACATTGTCGGGATATCCTGGGAGGACTGCCATCACCTCAAAGGTCCCGGCTTTCTCGCCTTTCAACCAGTACTTCTGTAATCTATAAGAGAAACGCATCATTCCATTACATGTTAATACCACAAGTTTTAAGGTGAAGTCAGAAACAGGATCCTTGTATGTCTATTTAATACTGTAAACATGCTAATCCATAGGTCGAAAAACGTACCTTCCCTTGGCAACTTCACAGAATACAAAGAAGGAACCGTCCTTGCTTAGTGACAGACCGTTTGGGAATTGGAGATTCCGAACAAGAACAGTGGTTTGTTTTGTATTAGGATTGTACTTCAGAACCCTCCCACTATCTTCTGCTGAGTAAACCAGCAGCATATAATTCCTGTGCAAGATGGGGTGAGTATTAATATTCTAATTAAAGAAGAAACGCGCATGACACTTAAACCATGTTGTATTAAAACCTGAAATAAATGCTTATATATGGCAATGCAAGGTTTTTCCAAATCCCATATAAACATCTTCAGTATATGTTAGCAGAGTTGGGTATTCATTGAACAGAAGAAATGTTAGCAAAGTTTGGTGCAACCATGTAACCGCGTTAAAATCTAAGCTTCTCGATGATCATCTATTCACTATATGTTATCAGAGTTGGACATTAACTCTCATTTTTCTGTCCTAGATGCATTGTTTTTTAAAAGAAACCATTTTTCTCCCCGCTAAAGATAGGGAGCTCTCTGTCGCCCATTTGGTATCAATCAGAACTAATAGTGAAATGGAATGTTCATTCTCAAATCATGTCAAATATATCAAGAGATCTACATAAAACCGAAGAAACAGTAAATTCACAATTTTACGTACCTTCGTTGGTACTTGGTGCTGCTATCTGTAAAATAGACATTTCCTTCATCATCAATGTCAAGGTCATTTGTGAATCCGAGAGGCACTCCTTCAGCCTCAGTTGTCAATGTTTCTGCTAGTCCGCCTTCAGGCCCTACTTTCATCAACCCAAAATATGCATCTGCAATATACAAGTCACCTTGTTTTTTATCAAACTGTAATCCCAAAGGCCTACCACAGATGTGTTCATTTTCTAAATAGCTCAGGGGTGATGGTTTTGGGTCACAAATGCCAGACCTGAAAATTCAGATCACTAGAATGCATTAGGAAATCGGTGAAAGTAGACCAGAAATTTAGATCATCTAAAAGAGAAAATTTAAAATGGAATTTAAGACTTTATACGATGACTATGCAGCATAATTATAGAAGATAATTTCATTAAGAGCAAGACAAGTTATGACATGTTAAAATTTGATTTAACCAGATTAGCTTAACAGCCTTACATATTAGCATGCAAGATCGACAATCATTAACATATCACAATTCCAATTCCAATTACATAATTAGAAGTTCAGAATATACTAGGATCATAGAACTTAATTAAGTCAGATTAAACGATAAGATAAAGGAAACAATAGGCATTCCCCTGACACAGGTCTATTGTCAAATTAGGAATGAAAAGACTAAATATTAACTCTCTCTGTAGAGCAGGACCTTATGGTCCTTTCGTCTTTCCTGACAACTTCAAGCCAGATAGCTTAGAAAACTGAGACATTTTGTTAGAAATTCACTTCCTCTTTTTAGAATCTGAAGATCATTTCCTCATGTGCTCTCATGCTATCCTGAATTGACCAAAGCAAGAAAGTTTCTTAGAATGAGATTGACTCCCATCTGATTCCAGTGCTTTAATACGCTAGCGTCGTTTAATAAAGATCATGCATTATGTGACTTAGTTAGAGAATATCAACTACGTAGAGGCTTGGATTCCAGCAGCTTGTGGAACAGGCATATTCATCAACCCAAAATCATAATAGTTAGGACTTAGGAGCAACGATACAAATTAAGAGCGAAATGCAACATATCTCACCGTTACAGTCTGTTTTCATCAAAAGGCCATAGCAACAAAGATTATCATTGTAATAAGGTGTGAAGTCATGCTTTAGAAGTTATTAAACCAAGTATTAAGCTGACGTAATAAAGTGACAAACAGTGAATCAAAAGGATAATTTAAAAAATGGAATCATAAACACCCACAATTATACTAAAATCAAAATAAAATAATATCTGCATGTTAACAGTTTCATACTGTTTCCACATAAATTAACACATTTCTACATAAAAATTACTACTCCCTCCATTTCAGTTTGTTTAATTACTTTCTTTTTTTAGTTTGTTTCAAAAAGAAGTCTCTTTTCTTTTTCAACTAACTTTTTAATTTCAACTTTTCACCGGGTTAACACCACAATTAAAACTCGCATTTTGATACATTCAACATATCTCTAGTTTAATGCCATAAGACTCAACAGTATTTCACTTTCTTAAATCTTGTATCAAGTTAAAATCGGATAAACAAATTAAAACCGAGGAAATACAAGGAATAGAGTCACCTATTAGCAGAGGTATATGCGAAATCAGTCCATTTCTCTCCATCCCACAACACAATTCTCCCATCAGCTATGCCTGTGTATGGCCCACGACCTTTCGGGGCAAATGCGATACTTTCCGGGCCCTGAATCTGGTTCAAAAACTTGATTTCCGATTTCTGAAGCAAGTTTTGAGTATCCTTTTCTACTGGGATTTCAGACCAAGCTGGTGGATCAACTCTGTAAGCTTTAAAGTCTTTGATTTCAGAAATCGCACTGTGTTTAAAAGGGTCAAACCCACAGTACAGTGCCAACAAAAGAAATACTCCGGCAAATACTACCGCCGGCCTCATTGCGGGAAAAAAAAGTTTGTGTATTTGAATTTTGGGACTGAAAAATTTGAGATGAGTTCAAAAATTTGTTTGCGGGTATGAATTTTGAAAGGTGTTTACTAAAAAGGGTGATTTTTGATTTAGTGTAATAAATTTAGCCACCAAACGATTTTCTGGATTCTTGAATACTGTGTGGGGTTCGTTTTCATGAGAGTGAAGTGTTATATTAGTAGCTGTTCTCCCTACTGCCGCTTTCATGCATGTGAGTAGGGGTGTTCATGGTTTGGATAAAAATCGATCCAAACCAAAAAATCAAAGCAAATCGATTAAATGAATTGATTTAATTTGCGTTTTGATTTGGTTTGGTTTTAGGTTGTTAAGAACCGATAGTATTTGGTTTGGTTATGGTTTTGTTCGAAAAAAATCAAAGAAATAATCGAACCGAACCAACAAGTTATATACATAAATTTTATTATTATACATACATAATATATTATATTCATAAATAATTCTAAAGATTTTATATATGTTTCATCAAAATTTATTTATAATTTACTTATGAAAGAAAAAATGTCCAAGGTGAGAACATTTTTCTTATTGGTTTCATATATATGAGTGTCTATGGAAATTCTTTGTGGGATTGAAAATGTCATTGTCTCTTCCTTCTATGCCAAAATAGTGAATTTTGAAGTTTTATTCGGTAAATTCAATGATCAAAAGTTTTATAATGCCAGTCATTCTAACTATTTTTTTGTTTGAATGGATTGTTGTCACTTTTTTCACGTTTTAAATGAATTGTTTCTTTTATTTTTATGTATGGTTAATAACCAAACCAAACCAAACTAAAACCGAAAACAATCAAACCGATAAATATATATTATATTTGGTTTGGTTTGGTTTTGATAATTTTAAAACCGATTAAGTTGGTTTGGTTTTGGTTTTGACCAATAACCGACCCAAACCAAACCGTGAACACCCTTACATGTGAGTTTTGATAATTATTATAAAAAATAAATTTAAAAATTAAAATGAATTTATATATTTGAAAATTATAAGTCATGATAATTGAAAATTTAAAATATTTAAAAGATATATAAAAAAATTATAATTATGAAAAAAAATTAGTTTAATTTTTGAAATTTAAAAAATGTCACTTAAATTGAGACCAAAAATAATAATTCATAAGCAAAATAACTTATTTGATTCTCAAAATTTCAATAATTACATCATATAAATTAGGACAAAGAAAGTAATTTTTATTGTCACATGAAGTCATATAATTATTATTAATCAAACTTTTACTCACTATAACATTCAGTAAATTCGAGTCACTTATGTAAACATCTAAAAATTGAAGAATTTAAGTTTTTTAGTCCCTAATAAAATGAATAAAAGAAAGGGTAAACAATAGAAAATCCACTAGTTTAGAAATTTAATTACTTTTCTTTTTATGAGTTTGCAATATTACTAATCCTATCATAATTTATACCTCGAATATATATATATATATATATATATATATGACGCATCGAGGTACATGTATATTAAATACATACAATTAAGTGTATCTAAATAAGAAATGCAATTGAAATGCATAAATTAAGGAAGAAATCATGTCTATAACCACTTTGGAGTATCTGTTGTATCATAACTCCTATTTTTTAAAGAAAAAAAATTCAATTTTTTGCATATTTAATTTGTTCGTTCCATGTATCTGAACTATTCTTCTATGTATCTGATACAAAATCATTTATGTATCTAATAAATAGTTTATGATTAAATGTATTTGATACGTTCATTCTATGTATATGGATTGTTCTTCTATAAATATGATATAGTTTCTTTTATATATATGATATGTACTTAATAATTGTGTTTGATCTGTTCATTCTGTGTATTTAAATTATTTTTCTATGTTTCTGATATTCAACTGGAAAAAATGTCTACTTTCAGCAGTGGTGAAACTGCTCCCATCTTCGGCTTCTTTAATGTTGTAGTCGCCTTAGTCTTCTCTTGTGTGAGACTTGCTTAATCTCTGTGATGCCACATTAATTAATTGATTATATTTTACACGATTTCATTTGGTTCCAACATCACCAGAGCCTCAAAATCAACCTAAAAAAATGTCAGTCATTATTGGGAGAAGTGAAAATATTGAGAATCTGATACAAATTCTTTGTTTTAGGATTGATGCTCTCCCTATTATTTGTCTCGATTTTAGACATATCATTGCCATAAGAAATTGAGAACCCTCTATAGAAATTTCTTATGAGACGTAGCAGATAAGAACCTTTTAGTTTTCAACAAGACCTATTAGTAAGGAACATACTTTACAAAACGAGGTGATCGGTAGAAGTGCAAAACCATGAGAGGGATGGAGAGGTAAACATGTCATACTTTTTAATGAATATGCTCACCTTTTCTCTGGGCTTGCTGGCCTTTCTACTTGTACGACCATCAAAATCGTTGATGAAGCTGGGAGGGAAAATTTAGGAGAGACAAAGCTAATTAAGAGTGAAAGCATTTAATTATAGAGAAAATTAAATGGATAGGTAATTAATGACTATATTTTAGATTAATTTTAAAGAGAGACGTATCTCACTTTAAATTTGATATACGATTATTAGATAATAGGATAATAAGTAGTTATTTGAATGTATATATTGTTATATTATAATTATAATAGATATAATGTGTGTTTAATTAGGTTGTTTAACCTAAAAGAAAATAATTTTTTTTTCGGAATCTATGTCGCAGAAAAAATGATATTGCGGAGAATCACACTCTAGTCCGACCCAGACCCGGCGACCCTTATCCACGTGTTAAGATACGGGTCGGGTCGGGTGCGGCTAGCAGAAATGGAAGAGCAATCAACATCAGTGTATCATCATTCATCACACCAACCTAGGAATAATTCTAGAAGGACCACTTTTTGAGAAGAAGAAGAAGAGCTCTAAAATCGATTAACAATGGCTGAGGATTCATCATCATCCCAGTCCTTCCTGAGGAGGCATTGGGAAGGATACAAGGAGTTTTGGGGCGAGAGATTTTCCTTTTTGGACAACTATTCAAGGTTCATCAAGCGCGACAAGCCACTCCCTTCTTGGTCTGATTCTGATGTCGAGGAATTCATTGCTTCTGACCCACTTCACGGACCCACTGTATTTTCCTTCTTTTTTCCCGTTCAAATCTATCTCATATGCTTACTTTTCATTTGATTTGTGTGTTTTTACATATATTTAGGCGTTTATCCATCTGGGTCCTCTTTGATTCGTCTCCTTTGATCCATACCTTTGGTTAATTTGCTTATGCTGTTAGATTTTCGATTGAGACAATTGCTGTGCAGTTTCTTCCTGGGTATATCTCAATTTGGATTGATTGGGTGATTTTGTGATTGTAACTAGTTTGGGTGTTTAATTCAGCTTTGAATATGGTTCTCTAGATTGGCTGGGTGATTTTGTGATTATATTCTTTATGCTTTCTCTGGAATTTGTCTTATTGATTCACCACTGGCATGCATTTATGGTAAATTTGAAGTGCATTTCTTCATAGTGCTAGCTGAAGTTAGCTTAGGTAATCTTCTCAGGGATACTCTTGAATTGAGTGGTGTCCTGGAAAATCTCTTGGCTTTGTTGCATTCTCAATCGCCAAAAATTCATTCGGAAATTTCATTTCTTTTTCTTGCAGTCATCTACTAATTTAGCTTGTCTTAATAGTTGGTGAATTTGTACCTGGAGTAGATTCTGCAGGGTCCAAGTACATTGACTGCCCTTTATACTTGACACTATTTTTCATTTAGACACATGAACTCTAGCTGAGACCTATTGAACACCTGAAGTTGCCAAATATTGTGTACAAAACCATTAATGCTCAGATGGCACATGGTGTTCCCATGTGAAATTGAGTGCGTGCAGAAACGGCTTTGGCCGGAAAATATAGATTTCTGCCAGTAAAATGATTCTCCGTTCACTGTCTTCCTAATTTTTTTTTCTATAGCCATGATTTTCCAGTCATTCTCTTCTTCTTCCTATTTAAATCTCTCTAAAAAAATCTTGCCTTATACCATTATGAGAACCCTGCTCCTGAGGAGCTGTTGACTTATATCTCTTCAGAAAGAGATAGACACTAGACAGTTCCCCTTTCTTGCAGACCCCATCACTCTTGCCCTGTCTATCTCTTTCAGAGTAAATATAAGTCCACATACCTGCACCACTGAGCACGCAAGATCACAAGAATGTGCTATTTTTTGCTGATGCTCCAAACTCGTAAGCTGGGTAGATAAGAAAAGTACACCAGCTATGGGCATACATTATCAGGCTCCTTCCATGTTTCCTTCTAATTCTTTTGAGCATATGCAGTTAATAAATACACTTATACTAATCAAGAAAAAAGTTAATAACGACACTTTTTTTACTTTAGTTTGAGAAACATAAAGTTGTCGCTGCATACACGCCACCCTCCCAGACCCCACTTGAGTGAGACTACACTGGGTATATTGTTGTTGTTGTTGTTTGTAAACATAAAGTCTTATCTATATCTATCTTGTTCAAATATAGTTTTAGGTTGTTGAGGTAACTTCCTTTTTTTCATTTTCTCTTCTCTTCTTCCATCCATGCAAACAAAAAGGGGAAGAGTTTTGAAACTGTTATTTGTTTGTCTCCTTTTCCCTTATTCCAAATAGTTTGAGAGAAGTCAGGGAGAGGGGGAATGAGAAAAAGAAGTAGGCATACAAATGGAAACTAGCTTCTTAATATTTCTGCCAGTATGCTTCTGGGGATTATCCCCAATTTTTGTTGATTCTCCTCCCCCCTCACACACCAACCCCTCCAAAGGAATAAGAAGAGAAGTTATCGGAACCTCAGCTTATCTACTTTAACCTCGTTCATCTTTATGTCCCCATTTGAGCTGGTGGACACGGTTTTTGGAACTAGTATTGATGTATTACCACTACTTCCAATGAAATTCATTTGTTGTCTCTCTCTGTTTCTCTTGTGCATGAAACTGCTTATTGGTCAGTCTGTCACTGTGCACAGGAGAATATTAACGTCAGATGATAAGAAATTGCATATTTTTGTGTTTTTCTCCTCTGATAATCCTACTGTTTCTGCTTCCGTACGGTTTGTCAGAAACCATTCCTCTATTTTTTTGCCTTTGACCAATTTGAGCTGATGTTCTATTTTTTTTCCAGCTGAGGACTGCTAGGGAAGCAGCAAAGATTAGTGCTGTAGGAGGCATTATTGGAGCTGTTTCAACTGCAGGTGTTACTTGGAAGTATTCCAGGAGTTTGCATGGTATGTTGAACTTAATTCCCCACTCCCCCCCCCCCCCCCCCCCCCCAACACACACACACATTGCTGTCATAATGTTACTACTAATTCATTGCCCAATGTTTGAGCATTAAAGTCTTTTAAGAACCAAAGGCTCCAGGAATTAGTTACCTTGGATTGTAACTTCATTCATAAATGTTTTGTGAATCTGATTTTACTAGAAGCTTTTGCCACATGATTATCAATGATGTCTTGCAAACAGGTTAAGTATTTTCTAGGTATCATATATGTTAAGAGTGTTAAGTGTTCATATCGAAATGTTCGAGTTAAAGAATATTTGACGTGTTAAGTTCTATGTTAGATGTTAGATTCCACCAATCAAAAGGAAAGAAAGCTAAGTTGCTCAGACTCTTCCCTTTTGGTGCCGCACCCGGTGTCGACACAACATGGGTGTGGGATCCGTGTCCGATTTGGTCAACCAATTTTGGGTACTTTGACCAAAATCGATGGGGAAAGTCTAAACAGTTTTAATGATTTCTATAATCAATACAAAAGTTAAGGTGAAATTGAAGAAAATGGAATACTTTTTATATAAAAGTTTATTTGTCACTCCGTTTCCTTTAATCTCCTAAGATTCTCCTAAAGTTCTCCACATAATATCTCTCATAATTTAGGTTTTATAACTCTATTTTTAGGCAAATCCCTGCACTTGTATCCACACATGGATCCATATCCCCGAATCTTAAATATTAGATCATGAAGGATCCGACCTCTAGATCCGCACCCGTATCGGACACCCACACCCGAGTCCGGGCAACTTAGAAAGAAAGTTGTATATTAGATTCCATTTAATCATCTTCCCTAAATGTGTCCCCCATGAGAAACCTGTACACATGATGATTCTTGCTCCGTCCTTGACTACCTCTGACTGCATACTTGTGGGCTAAAATTGACTGTTGCCATCTCCAAATCTGTTCTGTGTTCTTTTACAGTTAAATTTTAACTATGTTCCACCGATGTGGCAACTTCTGATCTTTCTTTTTGATTACTTGCTCATCTTTTCCCATGTTCAGATGAAAAACAGTAAGGATACATTGCATTCCCCTTATTTTCCTTGTGAACAAAGTTCAAACATGGTCGACCTGAAAAAAGTAACAAATCTTGCATAGACCAACTTTCACACAATTTCATTTTAGGAATCTTTGTAGTATTTTGACTAATTTTAATCATTATGATCCTTTTTGTTCAAAATTAATACAGTTCAGGTTCTATACTTTCAGTGCCTTGAAAAAACTGGTTTGATGTCTGTGCAACTTATTTGTACTTAAACATACATCAGACTTCACCCTAAGTTTTGTGGAGATTGGAGAACACAAAACAGAATGGGTTTTAGTGTATTAAATTTTTGGTTTGGGAGAATCATTGGACTGATTAAATTATTTAAGATGATTGACTTTGTTTTGTATTGATGTTCCATTCGGTAGGTACTGCACTGTCTCTTGGAGCTGGCGCTGTCTTTGGCTGGACATTTGGACAGGAAGTTGCTAACCACTGGCTGCAGCTATACAGGCTTGACACCATGGCTGCCCAGGTTAAATTCATGGAATGGTGGCAGAACAAGGTTGAAGGACAGTAATTCTCGTATCTTATCCCCGGTTGAAGGACAGTTTGAAGTTTGGTTTTGGTGTTAAATGTCAATGAACTTCTTTCAGGAATAAGAATCAATCAGAGTGTTCAAATTGTAACCAGTGACACTCCGGGATTGACTGATTATCTTTCCGTACTGAATTGTTATAGTAGAAATGTAGATTCTGGCAGTTTTCCTTAAAAGAACAGATCAATGTGTGTACGAAGTTGGAATTCATTTCTCTCCTATTCCAAATCTAAACATCTGAACAACCGTTAATTAAACTATTCAAGGGTTGGTATGTATGCTTATCTGAGACAAATACGCGCGATGCAACAACCAAGTAAGCACATTGGTTGTATTATACACGTCTGTCATTGCTGCCAATACACACATACATCCTATGCTTCACCACTTGATTTGCCAGTCGTTACATATGTATCTTGTGTAACGACTTGCAAGCCGATACACAAATCTCTCAACAAAAATTTAGCAGGAAAAAGGAATGAACCCATTTTAAAGTTTTTATGTTCTAGTACCTATAACGCTAGGAAGGTTCTTTATATGATCATAAAATTAAACATAACAGAAATAAAGGCACCTAAGAAATGATTAATCAATGTACACATTCAACATTACTCAAGATTGAGGCTTGTGTTAAAAGTGAAAATGCAATGTAACTAGATCCCAAGAAAAAATTAATCTAAGAATTTTTAACGAAGATTATAAAGGAGGGTTCTTGTAAAATCTAAAGAAAACAGTTGTATTAATCAGTACTATCCAGAACAGGACAATTTACATCTATATTATCATTACATATATACGGCTTGGACCAAATGATGGGATCCATATTCCTATTTTATTGAAGCAGAGGCTGCATTCAGTGATGAACTTCAACGTACTAGCGTTCACAGATCCAATAAAATGCAATCATATATATTACTGATGTTGACAGGAGTATCCACCTGCAGGAGGAAGGAATTCATTGTAATCAATAGATAACTGCATTGACGAAAAGAAGATGATGCACAACGAGAAGTTACAATACAAGGCAGGAGAAGTGCAGAAAATCTTGGTCCTAGACACAATTCTTCCAAGCACCCAAGAGAGAGAGAGGGATAAAGGGAGGAAGAAGAACAAGAAAGGGAGGAAGTTACACAAAAAGGATCATTCCGCACTGCGATTTAACTTTTAACCCCATAAAAAGGAGGTGTGAAAACAGCCTCCTTGCCAGAAGTTGGAGTTCGGTTCCTGGAGGATCACCAGAAGATTTGCCCAAAGGAGGACACCTAGTGCATTTCTTGCAAGAAAGGTACCTTCTGCTAATTGACGAAAGGAATTCGGTATAGTGCTAAAAGGAAGTCATAGGAACACTCTTAAAACTCCTTATTCCTCTCGGTCCACATCATCAAATTCTTGTTGATCACAGTTCTCACTACTCTCGTTTTTTCTATAAACAATTTTTTTTTATCTGTCTGACACCAAGAAAGTACTATAACATGTTACAAAAATGAATAGGGAATTCTAGGAATTTACACATGAAAGGAGTACAAAAACTCTAGCATGTGTTCCGAGCCTTGCATTGCACTTTTACTATACCACAAATACAAGTTCTGTCGGGCATCTGAAATTAACAAAGATAAGAAATAGAAGTCTTTCCTCAACCTTAAGATAGCTACGGTATCTTTCTGTCCACAGTGACGAAAATATAAATCTCACAATAGAGATATGGTTCTAGTCATGTGCTATTCCAAAAAGCGGCAGAGGTCACGTAACAACTAAGGTTTGTCAATGTGCTCAATGGTCTACTATATCAACTTGCTTCGACACAACAAGGCTTTTCTGTCTCTCTAATCAGTATGCACTTTAAATACAATAGGCAGCTCCTATCATCGTACCCAGAAGCACTAGGGTGCTTAAGAGCCAAACTCATTGGAGACGACAAAAACCACCAGCATGTAGTATTCTCGGAGAAACCATCTTTTTTCCTCGTACAGTTCCACTTTTGTCTTGGATCTCTCTCCATCTCTTTCTTCATTTTTTTTTTTTGGGGGGGAGGGGGGGTTAAGGGAGGAGGGTAGAGAAACTAAAAAGAATTGGAACTCTTAGAAGAAGACAAGTTACCTTTAAGAGAAAGTGCTATGAGTCATTCAAAACTTAGTTCGAACCAGAACTTGCAGCACATGGGGCTTGCCTATTATCCTCATTCAAAGAATGAGTATTATCAATCACAGGTGCATGTTGCTCAGCATGGCCGACAGGTAAAGTGTCCTCCGATATATTTGATTCAGCAGAACTGGCTGTGCTATCAGTTGTTTCCAAATGCTCCATTAGGTTTGATACAGTGGCAACAGCTGCACTGACTTCATTCCTAGATTCGGCACAATGGTCTGGTGTTGAACTATTACGAGAGAATAATTTCTCTTTCCAACCCCTTGAACTCTTTGTTAAAGATTCTTTGTATCTATAACATGACGATCAAAACAAGTAAATAGGGATTACAAGCAAATAAATTATCTGATGTTTAAGAAGTCATCTGAAGAGTTATAAGAAATGATATTAGAGTTTCCATATACCTCATTGACATTGCACTAAATCGAGACTTTATAGAATCTGAAAAAGACTGAAAATCTGATGGTCCGGCTCTGTCTTGATTGTTAGAAGAAGATTGAGGAGGAGTCCTGCAATACCATAACTCAATAATAAGCAAAAAATAAGAGAATATATTAGCTATATTTTTCTTGTCCCTTGGCCTTTACTTTTCTCCTCTCCCCTCTTTTCTAAGATTCAACATTTATGATATGATTCATCTTGTTTTCCCACTTTTCATACACGGTGAAAGGGAATTAAGGCGCATGAGATAGCCATCAAAAAGGGTAAAATCCACAAGAAGGAATTTTTCCTGTGCCCCTTTCTCGAAAGGGCGAGGGTGAGGGCTTTCTTGTGGTAGTAATTGTGACCTCATTGCATTTTTGAAGGATTCCTTCCATGACTATAATATGTAAGTGTAACATTGTAACTCATATGGAGCTAAAAAAATAAAGGAAACCATCAAAACTCTGAATCAAGTTTGAGACGCAAACATACCTATTGATTGAGGAAGTCCCAAGCTGATTAACAGCAGCATTTGATCCTGACCCAGAGGCAGGAACCTGATCAGCTTGAAAAGAAGATGGTTGAGTAACTGGCTGTCCAGAAACAATTGCAGAATCCTGACCAGATACCAAGACTTCAGAAGTGGGTTCACCCCCACTCCTCTGAGTAGAAGATGAAGCACCAGCAAGAGGAGGAGCATTTGGATGAGTTGAAAACACCAGAAATTGGGGACGGCCTTGAGCTGATGACCTACCTCGCGGACCTTCCCTTCTGGCAAGGTGGCGTGTCCTTCCCATGGCAGCGGCGGCAGCTAAGTGTTGAATGATACGCTCTTCAAGCTCAGAATCAGTTGCATTTGATGGTAACTGTAAAAGGAATGTGCCCCAAGATTTTGTCACAAAATGGACCATAAACAGCTCATAGAAAGAAGAAAATTGTGTGGACTTAAAAAATGCTAACATGCTGCAATTCAAAATCTCCTAAAGTTGGATGGTGAAAGATTGTGGTGTTTCTAGGAGGATTCATCCTGATGTTTCGCTCGTGCTCTACTGCATCCAACAACTCCTGGCTGTAAGAGAAGCACATTTATCAACAGCCTCGAAGGAGGATTAAGGAAGATCATAGAGTGATAAACAAGTGGCTGATTTGAGGATAAGACAGAACCTGTTAGGGTCTTTCAAGCTGAGAGGCTGCCAACACATGGGGCACTGGGAGCTTCTCTGACACCTGTGTAACATACGTTCAAGAATTATTCAGGATATTAGCGCAGTCAAATAAAGCTCCATTCATGCCTTTTAGTCTCAAAATTTGCAGCATATACAGTCAGAGATCCAAAGAGTTCATAATCTATCAACTGATAATTTTCAGTGACAAATATAATTTGTAAGGAATAGAACTTTGTTAAAAAAAAAAAACCTCCAACTTGATCTTTATTTAATTTTAGTATCAGAAATAGGCGATATAGTCACGATTTCATTGATCAAAGACACTTATATTTAACCTCCAAAAGGATTTGGTTGGAATAATGGTAAATAGGAGATATTTGGTGATTCAAAAACTCACTTCTATTGTTTATATAAAAAAAAGAGTCATTTTTTGCTCTCTTTTATTGTTCCTAACAGACACAGCAAGGAACCAACAGTAACAACAGCCCCCCACCCCCATCCCCCTCCCTTCTCCTGCTTGCTGGACTCTTTTGTGGAAACTCTGGTACAAAATAGATGAGATGAAACACCAAAAATCATGGAAGAAACTACTGGTGTGACACCCTTTTCTCTGTCATCAATTGTGATTACATTCCACATCATCTAATCACAAGCAGTGAGCAACGTAATGTACAGTTTATTTATGGACAGGCTACTTACAAAAAAGAGTCAATGCTGAAATCAAGTCACCATTGTTCTCCTACGTTTTCAAGGTCCAAGAGGAGCATATAATCCTCTAAGAAAACCATGCACTACAAAGTTGGGCAACAGAGTAATATATCACATAAAAAGACAAACTCCAAAAGCCCTATATCATTCTTAATTGCAGTATTTTGCTCTTTGACGTTGTCCAAATACTCTACGTCCATTTTATGGTTCCTACCAGTGGCACTTTATAGGGAATTCTAATTTTTCCACATTGAATCCTACAACTCTCATCTTTATAGCACAAGAGGAACAACAAAGGCCCTAAGGCAGCCATCTATGTGCACAACATGTCATCTTTTGGGCAAGTAATAAAAAGGTGTTATGCATCATTGAGATAAGTGAAAAGAACAGTTTAGACATGAGATATCTAATTAATAGGGAATCATTTGGATCACCATTCAAGAATACATTGAAGATGGAACTCATGCTTGCAACCAGTCACCTGCAAATTTAAAACATTATGTTACTCGATGATAGAGCCCATTCCGTTCATTACATATGATAATGTGAACGATACGTACAGTAGAAGGATCACTATCACAAAATGCTTCAAGGCATATGCTGCAAGCATCATCGCAAGCATCCTGAATTCCACCTTCCACAA